TTCTCCCCCCTCCTGCTCTCTCTCTCTCTCTCTCTCTCTCTCTCCCTCTCTCTCTCTCTCTCTCTCTCTTTTCCCCATCTATCACCGGAAACAACAATAACCTCGACATTACTTTAACTGTATATTCGCGGAATTGGAAGTTTTCTCCTCTTTTTCTTTCATTGTACGATCTCTTCTGCGCTCTTAGAAGGTTAAGTCTAGAGCGTCGATAAATTATATCTATCTCTTTCTCTCTTTCTCTTACCGTCTTTCGATCACCTAACCAAGAATTCGGCTTTCGTCTCTAATATATACATAAGACGCACCTTCGCAGTATCGTCGTTACCGCGATTTATTGCAAACTGTATAATTCCCGAGGACATTCGGTAACAATTATAATAATAATGACTCGAATGCGAACACATACGAGAGCGAGTAATGATACAAGTTAATAAGGTTAGAGGGCTCGCGCCAACCTCGCAATTATCGCGATTATTTCGACGTCGTTCCAGTTTGCAATGTTACGCTGCAACGTTTGACTGTGATTGCAATTAATGTTGTCAGAATCGTTACTCGCTTACCTTTCGCGCTGATTATTCGCTGAACGTGTTCATTTATTCCGGCCAGCCCGGTTAAGGATGCGGCCCGCACAATACGTAAACGGTCGTTCTGTTTAACGCGCGCGCGCGCGCATGCGTAGACCGCGCAGTCGACTCGCGCGCACGTCGGCCGTAACATAAATGTGTGAATAAAATCGCCGCGCGTGTAATCCGTATCGGATTCTATCATCATAATGAGGACAGGAGGGACGGAGAGGTACAATTCACTTTGAAATATGGATATCGTTGATAATTGCGCGACGCGATATACATTATCAAAAGGACGCGCACAGACATTCGCTCTTCTCCGCGAGATCTATCGAGTCATATCGATACGTCGAAAGTGGTGTCACGTGCACACTTTCGATCGTTCGCGTGCTTCAAGTTAAAAACACTCGCTGCCGCAAGCGGCAAATGAAACAACTCCAGTCCGAAGGAGTGACATGTGTCCATCGATATTTGACTTTCTTTTTTCATCACGCAGGAAATACACACTGCATTCAAGCAAATATTATACTTATCTTAAATATTTCAGAAGTTTGCGTACCTGCAAATTTATTTCAAGTTTATCGTCAGCGTCGAATTTACTCGGAATACGTTCTGAATTTTCCTCGTAAGTTTAATATTTTAATTAGGAATATTAAGTTGAGACAAGAATATTAAATTCAAAGTAAAAATTCAGTTTACTTTCTTGTACAAGGTACAAGTTTTATAATATTCTGAAAAAGAGAATAAATTCTTCTTCTTTCTCTTTTCAATAGACAATAATGAGTTCTTATAAAATTTGTAATGAGAGAGAATATATCTCTCAAAAGTATCACCAGGGAGATGTTCTTTGCTGAAGACAACCATTATTTAAGAGAACAAAAGCAAATTGAATAACCATTCCTCCTTAGCAGTGGGATATCGTGGCTTATTTTTTTTTTCTTCTATGTGGAATGTTATTACATTTCACATGGATTTTCCGTTGAACGATATCACCCGTATTGCGGAGTTCAGTCGGTCTGAAGTTGGACAACGTAGTTTTATTTTTACGACGGGTCACCTTGTTAACCGCGTCGTGTCTAAAGTATGTATTTAGAAAAAATGTGCTATCTGTCCGAGCGACGAAAGCAATCCGTTAGAGAAATCTTGCCCTCGCGCGAAAATAATACCATTGGAAAGCTGTACTCGCGCGATGGAAGCTCCCAGCTTTGCAGTCACGCCCGGCAATACGACTGGCAGTTTTCCCGATTTTTGCCGAATTGCCCAATTTTTTATAAAATTCTGTACGCACCGGCGACTGAAAAATATCGGCCGGTCCGTTTTCAATCTGCCAAAGCGTACAAATCAAATCCGGCCCGACAAAGATCCGGCCGACTCCGGCGTGGTCGCGAATAGCAATTGACCGACGTTTTCTCGCTCGTGGTCAATCAGAACAGACCGATTTTCACAACAAACATAGCTTATCGATCGTGCTTAGAAAAAAAGAAAAAAAGGAAGAGGAGGTCGAGGAAGGAGAAAAAAGCGTTGAACGGAACGGAAAGCCGGGCGCACACATAATGTTTCATTCTTTCTTACGTGAAGCCATAAATGTCACGATAGAGATATAATTTCCTCGGTGCGCGCTCGTTTCGGTAATGTTCCATCCAATAACAGAGATGTTACGTGTGGTTCACGTCAGGAGATATAGGACACACGTTAGCCATCTCGTCCGAGTGGTCTTATATATCGGGGATGAAAAATTCATGCGGCTCGATGCAACGTCCAATCTTGAGTATTTATTACATGTAAGATACATGTGTTCGTATTACCTCCTAGAAAAACACGACGACGACGACGTGCGCGATGACGTTTAATACCTGAGCGTTTCCTCGGCGCGAGTTTCCTCGCAGGGAAGAGACACCGTGATACTTTAAATAAGTTAGAATTCGCGAGATTCACCGAGCATATATGAACGCTTTCCCTCGCCGCCGATATATTAGGAACGACCACGAATGATCAAGTACTTAAAAATAGAACGCATTTAAAAGTCCACAGACGGAGCTTTATTTTTAATGTAATGTAAGAACAAGTCGGATATTTTTACCCAAAAAGCACGTTGAGAAAATATTGTTCGTATAATGCGCGTCTCAAATGTCGCAACTGATAAGAATTTTAAATATTCGATTATTTATGAATTTATGAGTGGTTATTTATGAACTTCTAATACTTCTAACGTCGGTGATAATCACATTAAAAAAATAATGCTATTATTGGAACATTTCATGTATTAGGGTAAATTAGAGTTTTCATTGTATAAAATTTAATTTTTATGATCATTTTCCGCTAATTTAGAATTATTTTAATATATTTTATATATCAGGAGTATTCATAAGTAAAATCAAAATGGGCTACATTTAAGAGTTTGTAGTCCAAGTAGAAGAGGATTGACTTTAAAATAACGAAAAATAACCATAGAATTTTCACGATCACAATTCGATCGTTTTCCCGTCATTTTGATATTATCGCAATTTTAGAGGATAGAGGATCTATCTGGAAGACAGAATTTCTTATTTTTTAATCACGATCATATAATAAGTTGAACATGTTTTACTCAAATAGCACACAGACAAAATGCTGTTTATATAGCACTTAGCCTAAATGCAGAGACTGACAGGAATAAAAGTAAATACTTTATTACTTACATGGATAGCCCTAGTAAGTACGGCGGGATAAGAGGAGCTACGTAAGATTGATAGCGTACTATATACAGATATCGGAGAAATGTCCGACACGATATCCACGAAGATATCGATTATCGCGTCGGCACAAATTGGGAGATAATTGTTTGAACCAGCTTGTGTGTGCCATTCTGCCTTCTCTCCACACTGGACAATATCGCGCAACAAGAATTTAATAAAGCTCCGACTTGGACATTGCGTAGAACGTGGCTGAAAGAAATGGACGTGGAGCGTGTCCAACATACACAGCACCCTCTTTCCTCCGGTTCTTCTATCACCTGATCTGCTGCAGTTCCCAACTCTTCTCTTCTATCTCGCGATTACCTCGGTGATCCCCTTATTTTCCGATCACGCGCATAAAGCTTGAAGGTAAAGCGAAAGCTATCGAATGGCGTCATATGCCGGATTTCCACTCCTTTCTTCCGTCCTCCCCTTACCACGTTTCTCCTTCACCTTTCTCGGTATAAAATATACTGAAGTCAACTGTCGTTTCTCTTTTGCTTTCTCGTTGTCCTTTTATTATCGAATAAAATAAAAATATACAATTTTCCTTTCTTGTCTCTGTTCTCTTCGTGATGACGTGATTTCGAATGCTTCCATGCGACTAGAATGTGTGTATTATGTGTCGATATATTATTACTCGGGAGTTATTCTAATCTTTCTCTCAGATCATACATTTTCCCTAATTATTATTTACGGTGTTATATATCTGTTGCATATGATTGTATATGATAGTATCACAGAGAACGTGTCATACAATGTACTTCACTTGCAAATTTCTCCTACAACTCGTGGTCAATTGATTTTTCTAACAATAATGACAATTGCAGATTGTATTATTTACGTTTTATATTAAGGAACATTTGCTTATTGTCATTGACCAATCGTTTGACGATCGTGTTCTAATTATCTATTACATCGATATCGGATTCGAACACGCTCGTTTATGTAAACTAACATAAAGCCCTGCGGCAATTTTTACACTAGTAAAAATAAATACGATGGATGTTTAATAAACGAATGCTCAAATGTTTGGATCGATCATATTACAAATGTATTTAAATGTATTTTCTTGATGCGCAAATAACAAGAGTCATGGGATGATAAGAATCATTTGTCAGTGTATCGGATAGACTTTATACATTATAGAGTATTTTGGCGATTGATCCCAGATATTCCGTCGATTTTATTTAACATGTATAGATATCTCAACAGTAAAAAAATGACACTTTAGGACATATATAACTAAAATTTATAAAATTTCATTTGGGTGATGCGTACAAACTTAGATTAAGGAAACTAAAATTTGGAAGACTATGACAATTATACTGATAAAAACTTCTGAGGATACTAAGAAATCTAACTTCTGAGACTAATAAACATAACAATATGGATAACAACATATATTGGAGATACGATCAAACATATCGTAACTGAAACAAACATACAATATTTATATTAATAAAAAATAAAAAGAGAAAAAATCTTACCAATGGATGAAAATTTAATATTTCGTATAACATATATACGTATATACGTCTATTATCTGACAAAGTCATATATTCCACCTCTATTTCCTTTTTTTCTCAATGTCAATAGAGCCTTAGTAGCAGTAGTCGTATTTCTATAATTTAAGCGTATGTGCACATGACTTTATCATTAATTTTAACTTTAGGAAAAGGCAATGTGTTGTATATTTAATTATTCTGGTCTACAAATGATCTTATATCAATGTTTTACTGCTTATTTAGTTAGAACCGTCGTGTATGCAAAGCTCTGTTGCTTGTTGTCTTATACATTCTGCCGAACAATCCTTTTTCATTGTTTCTGGTTTTATTTCAATATTGCTAATATTTGCTTTTGGTGATGGTTCCTCGTATTTGCATATCACAGCGTACATATCGCCACCTAAGCGAAGAGCTAACCACCGATTTTTAATAACCGCTAATTTTAGACATTCGCACTTCATTTTGGCATGAAGATTCGTATGCAAAGTCCTGCCCATTCCTTCGATGACTATAAGATCCACGTTGTGTTTCACCATCGCAAGACACAGATCCAAACTCAGACGACTATTGAATGATGGAATAATATTAGTCAACATAATTATAAGCGAAATAATTTTTTATCACCTCTCGATACACAATCAAGGTACATTTAAGGTTCCAATTTTAATTGAAATTTCCACAGAAATTTTAACTTTTAATTTTTTCTTTTTCCAACAGTTTCAATAATTTATAAGAATTTGTATTCTTCTTATCATTTTTATTCTTTTATAGAGATTTTCCAAAAAAACGAAGAAAATATTTATTAAATTTTTAGTGAATTAAAGATCATTCTATTTTGATTAAATTACTATTTGGTGTAGTGTACCAAGAGTTGAGTGATACAAAGACGCACCTCAGATCCAAGCAAGGACCTGCTTGCGCGGTTTCCATGGCAATAAGTGTATTATTTTCTAAAGCATGTTTGATAACATCACAAATTTTCGCAGCGTCTCGTAGTGTAACAACCAATTCGGGATACGTCACATCATTTAAAGCTGGCATTGAATTAGCACACAATATTACCTAAAAGTGTGACATTGTCATTAGAACAATTTACCTTTCAAGAAATATCTCAACAATAACATTGTTATTAAAACTAACTTTGGTTCCTCGTTGTAACAGATCACGCGCGAATGGCAAGATCCCGAGAACTATGTCTACGCCGCTGTTATCGACGAAAACGGCCGCACATTTATGAGATGGCCCGTTTTGTAATCTATATATCCAGCTATCTAAATTGTCCTGTAGCCATGGTCTACCTACATTCGTAACAAAATATTATTTTTCATATCTCGTTAAGACGCAGAAAGTCACAAAGCTAATCATCTCTACCTGGAATTTTTGCTTGAGCTTCTTCAAAGCCGAAGTCAGTAGTTTCCAATAGCTGCGCAACGTCTTTCGCACCCCAATCGAATATATTGCCACTGAGTACACCTAAAATTAAAGCTTTTATCTTCTCTGCACCTTCTAACTTGTCTATAGCCATAATACGATTATGTAGATGTCTCAGTGCTTCTTCATTCTCTTTTTTCTTTTGCTGTAAATGAGAAGATGTAGCAAAATGCATGTGACAGTCATTTTCTTAAGTTTTCACTTTTAAAATATCGGAAAGATTATTTACATGTAAATATGGATCCGGGAAGTCGAACTCCTTCATACAATGTTCAATGGTATCCAGTAATATTCTAACGGTAAGCGTTCCATATGCACTGTAAACCAATACAAATTACAACTTATTTCTTTTTTGCGTATAAATAATTAATTGTGTATCATCTGTATCTGTATCTGATCAGAACTTACAATGGCTGCGCATGAAGATAGTGTAACCTGTTGATATATTTCTCTTTAAGCTTTGACGCTCTGTCTTTTGCCGTTGGACTGTGTGGTTGACTATGAATAGCTCTTGCTACAAATTTATCTACAGATTCTTCAAAACACTGCAACCAGTATTCTCTGTAAACATAAATTATTTATTATTCACATTTGTATAATTCGTTCCATGCAGCAAAAAAGGGAATGAAAAAAAAAAAAATTAGACAAAAATCTTACCTAGCCTCTTTATCTTGAGCAAGGTCTGTAGTATCAGGATTATAAGTTGCTGGATCTTTCAACAGAGGACAGAATGTAACAGCATTCTCTGCTTGATCAATTTCCAACTGATCAACTTTAATTCCAAGGTTAGTTGACACAGAATCCTTAAAACCGGATGACCCAGCATAGTTTTCCAACCAGCTGCACTTATCTGATTGTTCAGTGCCGTACAAAAACGCTCCAATCGCGCCAAGGTAACCTTCATGGCGAAGAAAGAGAGGCTTTACCTTACCCTAGATAATGGGTGTGTAGTAATAACACAAATATTTAGAAATATGCACATCTTATAGTTATCCAGCATTTGGCTAATTTTAAATAATTTTCTATGATATTTCGATTGAAAAAAATATACAATTTTCGTGAAGGTAGGTCGTGTAAGATGTAGAAGAAACATGCGCAAAGACTAACATGAGACCAATATTTGATGGAGTATGAGACGGTATGCATTGATAGTGGATGGTTACGAAGGAAATAACCACCAAAATAAACCTTATCCATACTGTACACTGTAGCATATAGACTAGCTATTTGGCCAATGTCATTGCTAATAGTAAACAATAAACTCCTGGCAAGATCAGCTTCGGAAAATTTGGGCGGTCCTAAAATGTTATTATACATGTTGAGAAAGAATGAAATGAGAAAGAGGAAGTCAAGGAGTCTTTTGATAACAAATTTTTAATGCAATTTGCATAAACTTATGCTTACCACATGACATTGCTTTGCCAAAAGATGATGCAATAAGGTCTCCAGGTAAACCTTGGGAGGAATAATCACCTCCATAAATGTCCTTCACTAATATGTCTACATTACGATGATCTCCTCGTTCTGCAAGTTGCAGCAATTCGTCAAAGCCCTAACAGAATATTTTTAAAGTAACACTTTAATAATATACATTTATATATATATATATATACATGTACTATTCACATATGACTCAATGGCACTATGACAGGATAGAGCTTTTTCATGTAACAAAACAATTTGTATAATTTTAATTCTAATGTAGGCTTGTAAAAATTAAATAAAATTGAGTAAAATGTATCAATAAAATAAAATACATCAATCAAGATATCATGAAGATATTTTTCAAAAGATCATGTTCTGTTCAGTTAAAAGAGATTATAATATAAATTCAATACCTTTCTCTTTGTGAGCAAAGATCCTAATCCCCAAAATGTACCTCCTCCTGTAGCTGTACCTCCAACTCTTTCGAATACTTCATCAGACTCTACCTAAAAAAAAAAAGAGAGAAATAAAGTTATGTAAATTTTATGAAAAAGCATATTTCCTAGGTATCTATTACTTACTTTAAGAATACTGACACCACTGCCAATATTAACTAGCAGATATGGAAATATATTAGGACTGGCTTTTTGAAAATTATACTCTGGATTTGCATGTCGCTCATATTCGAAGGCTTCACAGGGTATATTTTTCAGTAAAAAGTTGCAGCCTTTTATAAGGCAATCAATCTCATCTTCCTTGTCGACTCTGAAACGTTATCTTATCAATCAGTACACTGATACAGCCTTTTCAGCAATCTTGTGCTTCCTCATGTTAGATATGTAATTTTAAACTATAGTATCTCATACAACAAAGCAATACATGTGACATAGAAGATCTGGTCGAGGATATTTATACAATAATTAGTATTAGCATATGTGTTAAACGAAATTCAATAAGGTAATAATGCTTACAATAATCCTAATTTTTCTTGCAGCAATGGAGTATATTTAAACGCTCCCCCTCCGGTTACTTTAATACTTTTGCCATGAAACCGCTCAACATCTACTAAATTCTCCTTGACAAAATCTAAGCAGTTCTCGATATATCTTGTTTCAAACTTAACAAAATGCAGTCTATTACCCTCAAATACTTTGTACGCTCGTTCTCCGCTATTTCCCAAGCCTGCATTCTCATAAAGTGCCTTGCGATAACTTATTGTTGAATAATACGCAATTTTCGTCAACGACAGACCTGAAACAATGTGTAAGAAAATATATTGATATTTATGTGACGTCGGTTTGAAATGATGATGGTAAACGTGATAACGGTACGACGGGAGCGGTATAATTTTTAAAGTCAAGTAAGGACGGACAGAACGATGTGTTTTGTACACGCGCACCGATAATATCAACTACGCACCGATGTCGATCGCGAATGTTTGTGCGTTTCTCAAATTGGCGAAAACCTCGACAGTAGGGGGTAATTTGATGCATTGTGGATGTGACTGCTCGCCGTCTATCTCCGCTGCCATTTCCGTCTGTCAAACGACGATCTCTTGGTTCTCCCAAACTCTCTCACTCGGTGGTCCGCGTTCATCTAACAGCTGGCAGTTGATGAATATATCCGCATTACGACAACAAAATGTACACAATGATACAGATTTGAATGTATATATCGAACAGAGATTACAAGAAGATTTCAACTCTGTCCGGGTTGTATCCACAGACTTCTATAGAATACACTAGACTGCTAACTCCCTTATATACTTCTTACATACTCTATCCGTAGAAAGTATGTACACTCAGAGACAGGTATGGTGTCCCTCGGCGATGTCGTATACACCTGTAAAACAATCGAAAGAGATGACAGGTATACACGCATACGCATATGGGCGTACTGTACAGCGCGAGAGAAGCGAAGAAGTGATGGGAGACGTTCCGATATTGCATCCTTATCGCACGTCGCACGATCGAGAGAGAAAGCATTAGCAGACGTGGTATGGTTAATGGTGTCTCCAATAGCTGTCTCACTCACTCTACGCTTGAATGCAGGGAATATGAGTGAGACAGCTATTGGGGACACCATTAACCGTACCATGTCTGCTAATGCTTTCTCTCTCGATCGTGCAACGTGCGATAGGGATGCAACGTCGGAACGTCTCCTACCACTTCTCCTTCTTCGTTTCTCTCGCGCTGTACAGTACGCCCATGTGCGTATGCGTATATGCCTGTCATCGCTTTCGATTGTTTTACGGGCGTATACCGACATCGCTGAGGGACACCATACTTGCCTCTGATGCCCATTTCTACCAACTTTGGTTAACTTGACCGGTTAGTTATTCCAACGGAATTGACCAGTCACATTTGTCGTTAACTAGAATTATTAAATGCGATTGGCCTATTCCGATGGAATAACCAGTCGGTTAAATTAACCACGGTTGGTAGAAACGGACATGAGAAATTGACACAAGAAAGCGATATATCCTCTCAAATTTAACAATCGTCATATGAATTTATTTTGATATCATTATACAATATTCGTTATCAGATTCATATTATTTCCAAATTATACTAATGACAAGAGTATTTAAGTTTCTTACAAGGTAACATATGGAAGTGTCGCTTACAGATTTTTAAATATCATAAAAGTTTTGTCGAAAGTATCTTTTTTCATATATTCCATCATTTCAAATATATTTGCTTGTAATTAATTTTATCAAATTATTTGCGAGGGATTGTTTGAAATGCAAGAGAGAGGGGGGGAGAGAGAGAGAGAGAGAGAGAGAGAGAGAGAGAGAGAGAGAGAGAGAGAGAGAGAGAGAGAGAGAGAGAGAGAAAACATATAAAAAGAAATATCTTATTTTAACTGCTCTCAATATATTCAAAACTCATAAAAAAATTAATGAAAGGCATTTTTTGTAAGATAGAGTATATTTATATATTCCTACATTACGAAATAAGGTCTTACTTCAAAATTGCAGATATTTAATCACAGTAAACACTTAATTAATCTGGCATGTACTTAAAAATATCTAATCACAGCACATAATGAATTAAGTTTGTGATATCTATTCTGTGATTCAGTGTTTCTTGTTTTAGAAAATGATGAAAGTTATTTTTTTACTATATAATGTTCAGAATACTAAAAATGACAATGATCAAAACTTAATTCATAATTTATACAATTCGTACATTGATTAGATTTTATTTTTTAATAATGTATTATAATATTGCTGTTTGATTAAAATTCATTACCGCGCAACGAATGATTATAGTATATATATGTATATCAATTAAATATCTACAATATAATTATGAAAAATAAACTTGTATAATACATACTGTGTTATTTAATACAAATTCTTTATCATTGGCCTATTCTATATGTTTTATAATGCCCTGTATAAATAACGATTAATATTGGCCAATATAAATCTCTGCATGAAATTCGATAGATTTGTGAATTTGTTGCAGCTTTCCGATTCTCTATAAACATGCATATGAAATTCAATGTTTTTTATGTGCCAACATCATTACATGTAACGAAGCAAATAGTTATCACTCTTCCAGTCAATCAAGGGTTAAGACACTTTGGTTTAATGGAATATTACGAAACTTATGGCAAATTGCCGGGTAAACATTTCTTACCAAACATAAATCCATTAGTAAAGATGTATGTAATATTATACAGTACTATTAGGTAATTTGTTCTTCTCTCAACGTATAGAAAAAATTGTACTAGTATATTATTACAATATTCTATAGAATAAGCTGTAAATATTTGTGCACTGTGGACATAACGTAAGGCTTTTTATATTCTATTTCTGCATTGTAATATGTAGTTGAGTGAAAATATATTGGTGTTATCCAAAAAGTTATAAAAAACAGCATCGATGTCTCCTGCGTCCGGCATTACTGACTTTATTACGTTTTTTCTTTTCTTTATCTCTAAGTTCTTTGTCTTTACGTATTTCTCTGACCTAAATTATATAACAAAATTTTGTTACAAATTTGAAGTGTAGTTGTAAAAGTTGAATATTACTGTCACATAGAAATTGTTTTGATAAATAGAATATTATATTCTTTATATATATATATATATATATATATATATATATATATATATATATATATATATATATATATATATATATGTCACAGAACCTCTCCAATATAATAAATTATTACTATTTATTTACCAAAGTATAAAAAGCATCATCTACACCCATTCTTGTTTTTGCTGAGGTTTCTACAAAAAGCATACCATACTGTCGCGCGACTTCTCTCGCTTGAGCCATGTTTACTGCCCAACACTGCTGAAGATCGCATTTATTGCCGACTAATACCATTGGTACCTCCTCTGCATCTTTTACTCGTTTTATCTGTTCTCTATATGTACTAATATCCTATAATATTAAGAATATAATATAGGTTTCACAAAATTAAATTGAATTAGCAATAGTGTAGAACACGCTTACCTCAAAACTTTTAGCTGAATTTACAGCAAATACTAACAAAAACCCTTCTCCTGTTCTCATGTACTGATCTCTCATTGCACTGTATTCCTCCTGTCCTGCTGTATCTAATATATCTAGAAGGCATGTTTCACCGTCGATCACTACCTGTTTAATGTATTGGTAAATTTAATAAAGCAAAATAAGATATAATACATTGCTTAAAACTTCTTAATTCTAAAGTTTTAGTTTTCACATTAATTTAGATAGTTTAGTACAAAATAATATTTCATAAGTTACTGAAAACTATCATAGAGAACCATGGTAGAAATTAAATTATTATATGCTTACTTGTTTTCTATACGAATCTTCTATAGTAGGATCATACTCGTCAACGAAGTGATTCTGTATCAGCTGAATAGTAAGAGCTGACTTCCCAACACCACCAGCACCTACTACTACAAGCTTATACTCTGTCATGAGTGTAGTGTTTTAATGAAAGTTACAACTTTTGTTGTTTCTTTCAGGGTAAATTCTTCTAATAATCTGCAAAAAGAAAAATACAAAATTGATGATAATCTTTTCACTATTGAATTTTTTTAAAGACATGATTTATTGTTAAGAGAAAAGGTAATTCATATTTTACGCCTGTAAAACAATCGAAAGTGATGACAGGCATATACGCATACGCATATGGGCGTACTGTACAGCGCGAGAGAAGCGAAGAAGGAGAAGTGGTGGGAGACGTTCTGATGTTGTATCCTTATCGCACGTCGCACGATCGAGAGAGAAAGCATTAGCAGACGTGGTACGGTTAAGACCCCTTGCACAATGCCAGGCACCAAGCAATAAGAATAAAAATAGACCAATCACAATCGACTATTACAAGAATAATTTATTGTAATTGGTCTATTTTTATTCTTATTGCCTGTTGCCTGACATTGTGCAAGAGGCTTAATGTGTCTCCAATAGCTGTCTCACTCACTCTACGCTTGAATGCAGGGAATATGAGACAGCTATAGAGACACCGCGCTGTCTCGATAGGGATCTCGCTCGCTCTAATACCCATGCATCGCGCTTTCCTCTTTTTTTCTCCTTAGCAGAAATGCCGATTAAGGAGAGAAACCTGTCTGTAGGCCAGAAAAATAAGCTATTTTCACGCATTTTTTTTTCGGAAACTAAGCAAACGATTTCAAATGATGAAAATTTCTTAGAAAAAGCAGCAGAAGGACTTTTATCTATGGTCTAGCAATTGCAGTTAAGTCTATTTTGGAAATCGCTGAAACAATTTTTAAAGAAAATGTCTCATTTAAATATTTATTGTTTTACAAGTTCTCCCAAGATCATGTAGAACCAGAGAGTAACCTGAAAGTGGCCAATACGACATTTTCTGCGACATCGACTTCCGCACTGGGAAAGGACGCCATCTGCATCCATTTTGAGAGGGGAACTACGATAATACATCCACTTTCAGGTCTCGGTGGTAAAATCTGCATATGGTGGAAGTCCATGCTACATCCACTTTCAGGCGGTTTATGTCCGTGCTGCAATGACAGTTGCCATCTCTATGCCAGACTATGCCCGGTGGTCTAAAAAGAGCGGGGGAGAGGGGGGGAGGAGCAGAAAAAATAAAAGTACATATTAAATGTTAAATCTTCGAATATATATTGCCGTATCAAAGTCTCTTCTATAATAAACAATTTGACATGTATGGAGACGCATGATGTATCATTGTCTGCGTCCCGTTCACTTCGTCTTGTTTTTTAATTCAGCATCCCGTCCGCTCCGGACATTCGCTCGTGGCACTGACAGTGGCCGTCGGTGAGCATTCGATCCGCTCGGAGGAGCACATGTTATTCACGTAATTAACGTGACGAGACTCCGATTATAAATATTCCGCGAATCGACGAAATATTTGAACTTTTAAAAAAAGTATCAAAGAAAATCACGTTAACGTTATCATGGGTAAAATCTCACCCCGGTATATATTTTCTTATTTTCGAAATAAAAAAGCCAAACGAATGCAATTAAATGTTATTTATCATCATTGAATATTAAATGAAAAGTAGAAGAGTTATTGTCCGCAGCGGATAATCTCCCTGTATAAAATGTCGAACTGAAACATATTAAAAAGTATTGACATTTTGAATACGTCTGAATTCTGCTTTCTGATCCGAAGAAAGGGAAAATAAAAAGTATTATCTCCTAAACGGTTAGAGATACAGGCTTCCGACTGGTACCAAATTAAAGCCCTTTCAAAACCCTACATTTTGGACTACATGGACGACTCTCTACTCCCAGTAGAAGCGGAGATATCGACGGATGAAGGCTGGATATCGACGGAGAAAGGTTGGAAAACTTTAACCTTCGATATCTCCTAAACGGTTAGAGATACAGGCTTCGGACAGGTACCAAATTAAAGCCCTTTCAAAACCCTACATTTTGGACTACATGGACGACTCTCTACTCCCAGTAGAAGCGGAGATATCGACGGAGAAAGGTTGGAAAACTTTAACCTTCGATATCTCCTAAACGGTTAGAGATACAGGCTTCGCACAGGTACCAAATTAAATCCCTTTCAAAACCCTACATTTTGGACTACATGTACGATCCTCTACTCCCAATAGAAGCGGAGATATCGACGAATGAAGGCTGGATATCGACGGAGAAAGGTAAGAAAACTTTAACCTTCGATATCTCCTAAACGGTTAGAGATGCAGGCTTCGGACAGGTACCAAATTAAAGCCCTTTCAAAACCCTACATTTTGGACTACATGGACGACCCTCTACTCCCAATAGAAGCGGAGATATCGACGAATGAAGGCTGGATATCGACGGAGAAAGGTTAGAAATCTTTAACCTTCGATATCTCCTAAACGGTTAGAGATACAGGCTTCGGACAGGTACCAAATTAAAGCCCTTTCAAAACCCTACATTTTGGACTACAATGACGACCCTCTACTCCCAATAGAAGCGGAGATATCGACGGATGAAGGCTGGATATCGACGGAGAAAGGTTAGAAAACTTTAACCTTCGATATCTCCTAAACGGTTAGAGATACAGGCTTCGGACAGGTACCAAATTAAAGCCCTTTCAAAACCCTACATTTTGGACTACAATGACGACCCTCTACTCCCAATAGAAGCGGAGATATCGACGGATGAAGGCTGGATATCGACGGAGAAAGGTTAGAAAACTTTAACCTTCGATATCTCCTAAACGGTTAGAGATACAGGCTTCGGACAGGTACCAAATTAAAGCCCTTTCAAAACCCTACATTTTGGACTACAATGACGACCCTCTACTCCCAATAGAAGCGGAGATATCGACGGATGAAGGCTGGATATCGACGGAGAAAGGTTAGAAAACTTTAACCTTCGATATCTCCTAAACGGTTAGAGATACAGGCTTCGGACAGGTACCAAATTAAAGCCCTTTCAAAACCCTACATTTTGGACTACAATGACGACCCTCTACTCCCAATAGAAGCGGAGATATCGACGGATGAAGGCTGGATATCGACGGAGAAAGGTTAGAAAACTTTAACCTTCGATATCTCCTAAACGGTTAGAGATACAGGCTTCGGACAGGTACCAAATTAAAGCCCTTTCAAAACCCTACATTTTGGACTACAATGACGACCCTCTACTCCCAATAGAAGCGGAGATATCGACGGATGAAGGCTGGATATCGACGGAGAAAGGTTAGAAAACTTTAACCTTCGATATCTCCTAAACGGTTAGAGATACAGGCTTCGGACAGGTACCAAATTAAAGCCCTTTCAAAACCCTACATTTTGGACTACAATGACGACCCTCTACTCCCAATAGAAGCGGAGATATCGACGGATGAAGGCTGGATATCGACGGAGAAAGGTTAGAAAACTTTAACCTTCGATATCTCCTAAACGGTTAGAGATACAGGCTTCGGACAGGTACCAAATTAAAGCCCTTTCAAAACCCCACATTTTGGACTACAATGACGACCATCTATTCCCAATAGAAGCGGAGATATCGACGGATGAAGGCTGGATATCGACGGAGAAAGGTTAGAAAATTTTAACCTTCGATATCTCCAAAACGGTTAGAGATACAGGCTTCGGACAGGTACCAAATTAAAGCCCTTTCAAAACCCTACATTTTGGACTACAATGACGACCCTCTACTCCCAATAGAAGCGGAGATATCGACGGATGAAGGCTGGATATCGACGGAGAAAGGTTAGAAAACTTTAACCTTCGATATCTCCTAAACGGTTAGAGATACAGGCTTCGGACAGGTACCAAATTAAAGCCCTTTCAAAACCCTACATTTTGGACTACAATGACGACCCTCTACTCCCAATAGAAGCGGAGATATCGACGGATGAAGGCTGGATATCGACGGAGAAAGGTTAGAAAACTTTAACCTTCGATATCTCCTAAACGGTTAGAGATACAGGCTTCGGACAGGTACCAAATTAAAGCCCTTTCAAAACCCTACATTTTGGACTACAATGACGACCCTCTACTCCCAATAGAAGCGGAGATATCGACGGATGAAGGCTGGATATCGACGGAGAAAGGTTAGAAAACTTTAACCTTCGATATCTCCTAAACGGTTAGAGATACAGGCTTCGGACAGGTACCAGATTAAAGCCCTTTCAAAACCCTACATTTTGTACTACAATGACGACCCTCTACTCCCAATAGAAGCGGAGATATCGACGGATGAAGGCTGGATATCGACGGAGAAAGGTTAGAAAACTTTAACCTTCGATATCTCCTAAACGGTTAGAGATACAGGCTTCGGACAGGTACCAAATTAAAGCCCTTTCAAAACCCTACATTTTGGACTACAATGACGACCCTCTACTCCCAATAGAAGCGGAGATATCGACGGATGAAGGCTGGATATCGACGGAGAAAGGTTAGAAAACTTTAACCTTCGATATCTCCTAAACGGTTAGAGATACAGGCTTCGGACAGGTACCAATTAAAGCCCTTTCAAAACCCTACATTTTGGACTACAATGACGACCCTCTACTCCCAATAGAAGCGGAGATATCGACGGATGAAGGCTGGATATCGACGGAGAAAGGTTAGAAAACTTTAACCTTCGATATCTCCTAAACGGTTAGAGATACAGGCTTCGGACAGGTACCAAATTAAAGCCCTTTCAAAACCCTACATTTTGGACTACAATGACGACCCTCTACTCCCAATAGAAGCGGAGATATCGACGGATGAAGGCTGGATATCGACGGGAGAAAGGTTAGAAAACTTTAACCTTCGATATCTCCTAAACGGTTAGAGATACAGGCTTCGGACAGGTACCAAATTAAAGCCCTTTCAAAACCCTACATTTTGGACTACAATGACGACCCTCTACTCCCAATAGAAGCGGAGATATCGACGGATGAAGGCTGGATATCGACGGAGAAAGGTTAGAAAACTTTAACCTTCGATATCTCCTAAACGGTTAGAGATACAGGCTTCGGACAGGTACCAAATTAAAGCCCCTTTCAAAACCCTACATTTTGGACTACAATGACGACCCTCTACTCCCAATAGAAGCGGAGATATCGACGGATGAAGGCTGGATATCGACGGAGAAAGGTTAGAAAACTTTAACCTTTCGATATCTCCTAAACGGTTAGAGATACAGGCTTCGGACAGGTACCAAATTAAAGCC